GCAAGAGGGGGGGGGGGGGGGGGGGGCGATGAACCTGATTTTACAAGGACGTTTTTATATAGATGCATTTTTAACTCCCTGTGGGCAAAAATGGCGGCAGAGAGGCTGGGGGGGCCGGTGCAGCAGTGACCATGATAGTGGGCCCGTGTGAAGACGTGTGCAAGCCCTCGGGGGACTGGATGGCAAATGACAAGGTTACACGGCTTAAGAGGCGACCTTTGAGACCTCCACTTAATCATAATCTCTAGTGTCCTCATCCCTGCAGACCCCATCATCTCCATCCCATTCATCCTGCTGCGAGTGTCCCATTGTAGCACATAGTCCCTTCTTACACTGCTAAAGCCTTTCTGTCACCTGTCTTTCCACACTTAATCACTGTCTCACATTCATTCCGGCCCCTTATTCCCACACATTTCTCACAGACTTTCACACTTCTACCTTGTACCCTTTAGCCATACCGAAAAGAAGTGGCTGCAGGAGGTGAGAGGTTCCAGTAATGACATGGGAGGTAATTACCGCCAAGGTGGATCTCTGAAGGACCCAAAGTGGGAACGGGGGGGAGGGGGGTGAACGGGGGCGGAGGATGGAGGGTGTATTTTAAATCTACTGATGATAAAAGGGATCCAGCAGCTAAACTGGATAATGTGCTGCTGAACTTCACCAACCCTCTGTCTCCTTCATGACTGTCTCTGACTACACAATCATTTGAGGACAGAAAAGGATTTTTCTTTCTCCATCTACAGCGCACGCCCTGCACCATTTCACTGAGTCATATTATCCATAATGTATAAAACCCCCTCACCAGTAAAGTAGGTAGACTTTAGTGGAGACTAAGTGTAAAAGTTTAACTGAGAGAAAATACATAAAATCTGTCTGTTAATCACACAAACCTTAATATGACTCCCTGGAAAAAAGCTTAACATGATGATGGATTAGTTTTGCCTTTTTCCTTGACATTTTTTCCATAAAATTAATTCCACTATTTGTATTCTACGCTCATATGTTTTTCTACTCCAGAAAAATCCAGAAAATTGTCTTACGTCTTAATTGTCACTGCTAAATGCAAAAAAAATTGTTTTGTATTTAGGAATGTTAATTTATCTTATTAATCACAATTAATCACCCTAACAAATAATCATGATTAATCATTATCATTAACAATTACCCCCTGATTAATCAGGCCAAACATTTTGAGTGAGAAACAAACCTAATCCTGTATGCTGCGGACTCTGGTTGGAAGGAAGATGCAAATTCTAAAGAAAAAGACTGAGAAACCAAAAACCAGCGATGGAGGAATTATTTTGTTGTGTAACTCGCAAATTACAGTTTTCATTAAGATTCGGATAAATGTCAACAGTGTTAAGACCATTTTTAAAATGTACACATGCATCGACTCTGGTAAAGATCCTTTCACAGTGTTAACAAACAATTTTGTTCAGAAAAAAAATATTATTTGTACTTATTTGCTCTGTTTATCATTGTGAAATGTCATTTTCAGTGTGCTAATTAATTGGAATATTTTAATCCTGGAAGCTCACCGCTGTAGAAACGGTGCATGATTGAATGCTGTCTGCTCTATTATGTTCGGAATCAGTTTTAGTTTTTAATGACGGCATTCTAATGAAACACTTCCTCAATTCTTTGACCTTTGTCTAATTAGTGCAATATTCACAACAAGTAGTTGTCATCATTTGATTGCAGCCAATAATTACTCACTATTATGTAAACATGGCTGCTCATTAATGTTGTTTTTCTTCTATCTCCTGTTCACACGTTTCTTGCTGTTCTCACTTCCACCAGCTGCTGTCTGTATCCGCCTGCTGTCGCTGTTCCTCCTATTTCCCTCCTTCTCTGCCTTCACACCTACAGGAATTTATTTACCAATAAGGAAACCGGTGTGCTGCCCCGAACGGCCGTTAAAGCACGAGTATTACAGCATCTGTTTGAAAGAGATTTTATTTCAAATCATCGGCCTCTCTGTTGATTTGATCACAGATAATGAAGAGAAACCATACTTCTGAAGACTGCTGTATATTTTCAAGGACAGAGTTCTTAATGGGAGGAAATTGCAGAAAACACTGTTCACCTTTTTAAGGACAAAGTAGCACAGTATTTGAAGTGACTGAAAATACTATACATATAAGATTACCATACAGTGAATCAGGAGCAGAAATTGTGGGACTTTGTGATAAAATCATTAACAAAGAACTAGGATGTTATGAAATGTGCTTTCTTGTTATTTGTTGTACAAATTCCTAAATTAAAATGACTCTAAACAACATGGGATGGATGTTGCTCTGTAATAAAATAGAAAATATGGGACTATAATTTTGTGGCTTTATTTTAGTTCTAATCCCCGAGGTGTGAATTTAAAGCTTGCAATATATTTCATATATTATATTCCCAATATATAAATATTCCAGGAGCATAAAACAATGGAAGGGGGGTGCGGGTGCATGACTTACTTCCTGTTCCAACTGTTCGATGATGTCAGGTAGCAGACTCCTCTCTCTCCCCAGCTCTGGTGACGTCACAATGAAATCTACGTCGTGAC